TCCGGCTGAAAATCAAATGGCAAAACTAATGTTTATCATGAAATCAGAGGTACTCCGTACTCCGTACTATGTACTGTTATCATGGGCATTGACTTTATCGCCAACTCCGCGAGAATCTCAAGCCGTGGATGGCATAAAAAAGTGTTCTTCCGTTCAGCCTAGGGGAAGCCGCTGCGGTCTCAACCAGGCTGACACACAAGCCTCGTACTCTGTAACCAGCTGACTACCGACTTACCTGGCCGAGAGCCGAACGAGGCCAGGGACCAGGTTTTGCATACCCACACTAGCACTCTCTGCCTTTCCTTGCTGCCCATTCGCTCACTCCCCACCCCATTCATCCTCCATACAGCTGCTGTCTCTATCGCACGATAGTTACCTATGGCTTTTCCCCGGGGTATGCTCTTCAACAAGAGCTCATAGCGACGTCTTCCCCGCACACTTTCCTGGCTCATAAAAGGCCCCAAATGTGGCTCCTCTAATCCCGGAATACTGGGTCCAAGTCTTCATCTCCGCAAGCCTCGCCTACTCTCGGGGCCCGCTAACTAGCAAGGGGTGGGTTCCCCGGGGCGTCCTGTAGGATGACGGCCTCAAGGACAACGAGATGATGGTATTCTGCGAAGTAACTAGCTCGACCCGACAGTTAGATGTGGTCGCTTGTTTTTCTCTGGCGGCTAACTAACTAGTTAACGAGTTAAGCGATCGCTTGGCGGGCTGATCGATGATCGCTATGCCGATGCTGTGGTCGTTTCCGTGAATATCATGACTATCATCATGAACATCAATACCCCTTTCCTCCGCCTTCTCAGCCAGCCCAAGGCGCCAAGTAGTCCCTGTCATATGCTTGTTTCAACGTTCCCGCTTCTTCCGCACTCGGCAGAGCGGGCCATGGTCATGGCATGGACACTTTCGTACTTTCTGTCTGAACTTTCTCCCATGCGTTTTGTGAGGCATGCTGTCTAGGTCCTGGGAGCCTGTCCTCCGCCCCCACCCAAACGCCCAGTGTAGCCGGTCCGATGCAACCCTAAACTATCCCCTGAAGGCCTCCAGGTAAACGAGCTAATCAAGTTGTTCTAGCTGGTGTTTCTTTCCTTTCCCTTGTCACCGGGGTCAAGCTGGTCATGGCTAAAGATTTTGCGGAATCATCAATCTTGCGCCGAGATTATCCCCAGCCGAGGGAGGCACCATATATCACCGGTGATACCTATATATAAAGCATGCGGAATGCTCTTTCTCTGGATAAGGGAAAACTAAAATCAGCAGATATCAACATCAACAAGAGGCATCTCCGTCCATTTCTGTTTCCTACCCAAAGACCTCTCATACCATAGCCGTTTTATTCCTCTCTTATCTTTCTACGATGCAATTAGTTGCTGCACTTGCTGCCCTGGGTGCCCTGGTGGCCCCGGCTGTGGCTTATCCCCATGCTCCCATGAACGAGACCCTCGTCGATGTTCAGCTTACTGCTGTTGGAAACACAATGGTCAAAGCTACCATCACAAACAAGGGTGATTCCGTGTTGAACATGCTCAAGTTCAACACCATCATGGACGAGAACCCTACCCGCAAAGTCATGGTTTTCCAGGACGGTTTGTCGCCTGACTTTTCTATCTTCATTCCAAATTCACTAAACATTCGACAGGTGCCGAGGTTCCCTTCACTGGAATGATGCCACGATATCTCATGAGCGACCTCACCGAGGAGTTCTTTACCACTCTTGCCCCCCAGGCAAGCGTTGAGCACTCCTTCGATATCGCTACCACCCACGACCTCAGCGCCGGTGGAAAATATGTTATCAGTGCAAGCGGTGCCATTCCAACTGCCGAGGAGTACAGCACCACCATCACTTCTACTGCTCTGTACGAGTCCAACGAGCTCCATATGGAGATTGATGGGACCCAAGCTGCCGCAGTCGAGCAGGCGATGAAGTTCACCCCTGAGATGCAGTCTATTCACTCCCGAGCTTTGCAGAAGCGCACCAAGATTGTTGGCGGGTCTTGCAACCAGAACACTCTCCGTGCCACTCAGAATGCCCTTGGAAACTCTGCCCGTCTTGCCCAGGCTGCCTCTCGTGCTGCCTCACAGAATGCTGCCAAATTCCAGGAGTACTTCCGCACCAACGATGCTAACGCTAAGCAGAGAGTAATTGCCCGCCTCAACTCCGTTGCCCGCGAATCTAGCTCTGCTAACGGCGGTTCTACAACATACTACTGCTCTGATACCATGGGTGGCTGCAAACCCCGTGTCCTTGCCTACACCCTGCCATCACGCAACCTTGTTGTCAACTGCCCAATCTACTATAACTTACCCCCACTCACAAAGCAGTGCCATGCTCAGGATCAGGCCACCACGACCCTCCATGAGTTCACTCACAACCCAGCCGTTGCGAGCCCACACTGCCAGGATTACGCCTATGGCTACCAGCAGTGTATCTCCCTCCCAGCTGCCAAGGCCGTCCAGAACGCCGATAACTACGCCCTATTTGCCAATGGTATGTTTTATAGTCTCTTCACAATCATATTTTAGTATATTACCCGTGGCTAACATTATGATGTGTATAGCTATTTACGTCAACTGCTAAGCGATATCCCACGTTCTTTGCTACCGCTTGAAGTGACTTTTGTGAGTGTGATGAATTCCATTGTACATAGTTATCACTACGCTTCACTTTACATACTTCTTTCTCGGAGTGGCTGAGTAGACATGCTTGCTTATTCACTAGCCACTCACCAACAACGTTTACTACTTTACATTCAACTTCTTGGTCATTTCGTAATACACATTCTAGAGCCTAAGCATCGCTAGCCGGGTTTATATCCATCCCTCGACGCAATTGCCGTAGCCAAATTGCCTAAGGCTAGCTGTCCATACTTTCAACGGAAATGGCTGAATTGCCTTATACTGAGCAGCCCGGTCTCCCTTTTTGCAGAACTCTTCGAAATGACTCCGGGTAGATGTAGAAAGCCCCTTCGTCTCTAGAAGGGTTAGAAAAGTCGACGGATAATTCGTAAATTTGATCTTTCTTGGTGGTTTCGTTATGGAGGTACTGGCTCCACGACAACTGGCGTCGAGAGGGCTGCCATATAAGTCTTCCGTTGGACTTATTGTGGCCGTTGTGTTTCATTCTATCAACCTTTAGTTGATTATCGGGTATATATCTCTGGTAGGTGTTCATACCGAAATAGACAAAGAAAGGAGTTCTCATCACAAAGTTGGAGGATACAATGGTGCATTGCTTCTATGTAACCCGACAAGGGTTTGGACGGAATGGAGTCTTTGGTCTTAGTACTCTAATATATATTAGAAGAGATAGAATGGAAAATAGGGTACACCATACTTACCTTGAAGAAAAGGGTATCTGACGACGCATCAAGTTTCCATAATCCTAAGTTACCAGAGACTGATCATACGAGTGGCGATATGAATTGCAAATGATGTGCATCTTCCTGTCCCACCTTTCCAGAGAGGGAGTAAATCTATTGCTGGCGTATTTTCAAGTACCACCCTCATTTTGTCTCTGCTGATAGGCCTTTGGCTTGTCGCTATCCTTCTCGTCCGTGTGATAGGGGGCGTCCTCGTCCGTGTCGAAGGGGATTGGTTCGCCGCCTACAATTGTTGTCATTTAATAGGAAGAAAACAGTAAAAAACAGCAGTATATAAAACACTTACCTCGTGGCCCACACTTCCGTGCCATTGCTGAGATTTCCTCCGGGGTACTATTCTTCACGAATTTTAGGAATCGAGCCACACGTTCTTCCGGGCTTTCATGTTGCGCCGCAGGAACAGTAGGAACAGACTTGTTAGAGGCATTTTCGGGTTTTACAAGAGGCGCAGAGTTAGTCGACGATACACTTGGAATGCCTATCAAAGCCGGGGAGCTGGCTGTTGATATACTTGAGTGGTCGGCTATTGTGTTGGCGTCCGCGGCCTTTGCTGGTGGAGGAGGGCCCATGGTAGGCGTCGCCCGGTCGTAGTGGGACACTTTCCTATAGATGTAATGAACGGTTTTGCTAGCTATATGTTGCTCGGATGTCCGATACACCACGGGTAAATTAATGAATGCTGTTATTGACTGACTCACAGCCTACAACAGATACCTATGTATAATCAGAGAAGGTGGACCCTTTGAATCGCTGAAAATACCCGGTTGTCAATGACGTAGTTAGATTAGTCATCACAACAACGATCGCCAAAAAAAGAAAAAAACTTAACCTCGTATAACTAATGGTTAACTTTCTGTCGAGGAGCAGTCATATTATTAGAAACACTCCCACACGAGTACATTGATCTCAGACCTGGAGGGCGACATGTTTGGGAGCTTGAGAAGAAGTCGTCAGCGCGTCGCAACCGCCGTTAGCATGAGTAAATCAGCCCATTCACGCAGACAGCGCAGGTAGCAAGCAGTAAGGACATACATGCTCCTATCTGTTGTCTCTGTACGGAGTATGCCTGCTTGTTGTCCACATTTAGCTTCATCTAACTACAGTATTCAATTTCGAAGCATCCAATCGCAGTCTCTCCGCATAACTATATTAATAAGAAGCTTTATCCTCGAGTTACTCATGGCCACGTGAGGGTCCATAGAATACCGACCAATGAAAATGCCCGTGTTTCAAAGCTTGGATCATGTGACG